GCAGTAGATCCAGCCAAGGTTGCGGCCGTTAGGGAGTGGGGACAGCCTACCTCACCGACAGAGATTCGCAGTTTTCTGGGATTAGCGGGGTATTATCGCCGGTTCATCCAGGGATTTTCCAAAATTGCGGGTCCACTTACTCATCTAACTAAGAAGAATGTACCATTTGTATGGGATGATTCTTGTCAGACTGCTTTTGCTGAATTGAAGAGTAAGTTAACTTCTGCACCTGTCTTAGCCACACCTCAGAGTGGAATCGAGTATTTAGTATTTACCGACGCTTCTCTGAAGGGTTTGGGTTGTGTGTTGATGCAAGAAGAGCGACCAGTTTCTTATGGGTCTAGGAAGCTTAAGCCTCATGAGCTTAATTACCCGACTCACGACCTAGAGCTCGCCGCAGTGGTTTTTGCCTTGCGTATTTGGAGACATTATCTTTTGGGGGAGACTTTTCGATTGTTTAGCGATCATAAGAGTCTACAGTATTTGTTCACACAGAGGGAACTGAATATGAGACAGCGCAGATGGTTGGAATTCGTGAAAGACTATCACTTCTCTATTCAGTATCATCCAGGGAAAGCGAATGTTGTAGCAGACGCACTCAGCCGCCGACCCTATGTTAGCCTTTCAGCTTTGTTTGCAACAGAGTGGGATGCTTTGAAGACTGTTGATGAGTTAGCAGACGCTTTTATGACATGTGTGGTAGTAACTCCTTCTATCATTCATCAGGTCATTCAAGCGCAACTCTCAGATCAACAGTGTATTGATTTGGTTTCGGAGTTAGCCTCCGGAGATGTTCCTTTTTATTCTATAGGGACTGATGGAGGATTGAGGTACAAGGGACGTTTAATTGTGCCTTCAGCTGATAATTTGAGAAATGTTGTGATGAGAGAGACACACACTTCTCAGTTCTCTGTACATCCAGGGGGAGACAAGATGTATCAGGACATGAAACGCCAGTTTTGGTGGGCCGGCATGAAAAGAGATATAGCTATCTTTGTCTCTAAATGTAGCACCTGTCAGATGATTAAGATTGATCATCAGAGACCGCCAGGATCGTTACAGCCACTTCCCATACCAGAGTGGAAATGGGAAAGTATTTCCATGGACTTTATAGAGGGATTACTTACTTCACAGCATAATCACAACTCTATTTGGGTCATTGTTGATAGATTGACCAAGTCCGCTCACTTTCTGCCTGTTCGGTCAAACTTTACGTCAGAACAGTATGCTAAGTTGTATATTGCAGAAATGGTGAAATTTCATGGAGTACCATTGTCCATCGTATCAGATAGAGATCCGAAGTTTGTATCGGGATTTTGGAGGAGCTTTCAGCAGGCTTTGGGTACAGAACTTTATCTTAGCACTGCTTATCATCCTCAAACAGATGGACAGACTGAGCGAGTTAATCAGATTTTAGAAGACATGTTGCGGGCATGTGTTCTTGATTTTAAGGGCAATTGGGAGGAATATTTGCCGCTTTCAGAGTTTGCTTATAACAATAGTTATCAGAAAACTATTGGTATGGCACCATTTGAGGCTTTGTACGGCAGACCGTGTAGGTCTCCTGTCTGTTGGCTTGGAGTTGGTGAGAACAGCTTTTTGGGTCCTGAATTTATTAAGGACACGTCAGAAAAGATCGCTATCATTAGGGATCGGATGCGTACAGCTCAAAGCAGACAGAAAAGTTATGCTGACCGTCGAACTCGTGCTTTGGAGTTTAAGGTTGGTGATCAGGTTTTGCTTAAGGTTTCTCCCATGAAGGGAGTAATGCGGTTTGGGTCAAAGGGTAAGTTATCGCCTCGTTTTGTGGGTCCTTTTATGATTACAGATCGGATTGGGGCAGTAGCTTATCGTCTGGCTCTACCAGATAATCTTCATAGGGTACATAATGTTTTTCATGTATCTATGCTGCGAAAATTTCTACGGGATGAAGATCGATACCAACACATTGATGTGGGTGAGATTGAGTTGCAACCCGATGCAACCTATTTGGAACAACCTTACTGTATTCTCGATCGTAGGAATCAGATACTGCGCACGAAGACTATTCCATTAGTACGTGTACAGTGGAGTCATCATAATGCTACAGAGTCTACTTGGGAACGGGAAGATATTATCCGTGCCAAGTATCCAGAACTTTTTACTACAGGTATGTAGTGAATTTCGGGGACGAAATTCCTTTATTAGGGGGGGAGAATGTAATACCCCGTAATTTTAAAGAATGTATTTAAATTAATTTTGTGTTAGGTTAATTAATTTTATTTATTTGTGCATACTACATTATTATATTATGTTCATTTAATTGTGCATGTAAAGTAATTGTGTATGTTAAAATAGTAAATTTATTCATTTAATTATGCATATATTATTAATAATAATTTTATTTGTTGGTTATGCTTATATTAATCATTATTAGCTAATTAAAGTATTATATTTGTGTTATATAGTATTATGATGTTATAATGTATTCTTTTGTAATAATAATAATTATATTAGTTTAATAATAATAATAAAAAAAAATAATAATATAATAATCATATAATAATAAAAAAATTTATTAATAATAATATTAGTAATAATAATAATAATAGTTATAATAAATCAATGTAATGATGGAAAATTAAATACTAGGATAGAATTTCATTTACTATGGTAGAATGGTGGATCAAATATCTTGATTAAAGATAGCATTGTCTTAAAGCCATATAGGTAGGAATATGAGAAATGGGTGAGAAGTTATTATAAATTAGATATTTGTAATATTTATATTATATATTTTGTGTATAAATTAACTAGCTTGCCTTAGAAAAAATAAAGGGAGTTAGAAGCAAAGTATAAATTCTAGAGAGCTATTTTATAAGAGTGAAAGGAAAAGAGAAAGAGAAAGAAGCTTGGACCGGTGTAGGCAATTTTACCCGACTACGCGCAGACCGGCGGATTTATTTTAAATCCAAAAAGGCAAGTTATTATCTACTTTTCCCATTTGAATTAATAAATTAATTGTTTAGCTTATTTTTATGCATAGAGCCAAGGTTTGGAGGTTAATAAATTATTAATTTTATTTTATTAAATTAATGGAATTTTAATTATATAGGATGGTATATATTTATTTAATGTCCTATGAAACTAATAATGGCTAAAAATAATTAAATAAGACTTTAGGGATTTTTCTAGAATTTTCTAGATTTTTCCGGGCATTTTCTGCAATTTCCGGCGACCTTCCGGCGAGTTTTCCGGTCGCCGGCAGTGGGGGAGACGACCGGAGTGATCCGGTGCGACGCGACGCACCATAGGAGGGTGTACGCGCGCATCCTGGCCATTAATGGAGTCTGATTGATCCGGTGCATCGCGGTCCATGATACCGCGGTACACCCGGATCAGGGAACGTTGGATGGAGGAGATGCAGGTGGATTGATCCGGTGGGGCGCGCATGCAGGAAAGCTGATGCAGCCAACCAACCGGAGGACGCCGCGTCAGCAAGGCACCCTTAGTGCGCGCGTGGCAGCGCGTGCGCGCGCGTGGGACTCTCCAGACGCGCGTGGGAGCGCGTGGCTGATGCCAGACGCGCGTGGAGGCGCGTGGGAGAGTGGGGAAAGCTTGGCTGCGCGTGGGGAGGCTCTGGGAGGCGCGTGTGGGGTCCCTACAGCTGCTGGAAATTACCAGAATACCCCTAGGGCCTGTTTTGTAAATTCCAGAACCTTAAACTTGGATTTTTAGGTACTGTGTTGGTAATTACGGGTTTAACGGGCCACGAAATTATTATTTTAACACCCGTTACTTATTCTTATGGCCGATTAATCTTTTCTAAGCATTTATTGGCTCGTTCGCAGTACGGATACTAATGTGATTTATTTAACGACATTGTTAAATATAAATAATGTTATTATCGTATTTAATGGTATCAAACATTACTGTTAAATTAAATAAGGCCATGGTTTTAGTCAGATAAATTATCCATGATATCATATAGGATGTTTATACTGTTAATTGATATATAAACCATGATTATTATGCTGTGTGCATTTCAGGAAATAAATGGACTGTTTAATTATGTCGCATTTATATTATATGGATGTGTTGCCATATAGAACCATATGAGCTGGCTAATAAGTTTAGACTCATTTATACCTTATGCATTCGTTGCGATAGACAGATGTGTGGCTGTCGGGGTATGTGGTTTAATATTATTGGCATGTGTTGCCTAATTGACATACTCGGTATATTTATTAATATTATTGGCATGTGTTGCCTAAATTGACATTCTCGGTACATTTATTAATAGTGTTGGCATGTGTTGCCTAATTTATATGCTCAGTATATTCATCAGTACTTTGCGAGGTGTTATCACTGTGTAGTTCGTTATAGTCTGTGTTGTCAGTACCGTGCACCATGTATAATAGCTGATTTCCCGGGTAGGGAAAGGCGACACTTGACCACCTAGTGTGAGTCTAAGTGATCACCGTCTATTCTGGATGAGGTCATGTTATACATCGGATAGTTCCCGTAGGATGTATACAGATATAGTACTCATCCGATTCATAATGATTAATTTATTTGATTCTCTGATTTGGGTCATAGTAGAGAGGACTTGCTCGTGGGGTTGACCCACCATTGTTGTTATTTTAGGATACGGTCAGTATCCGTTTCAAGGCTGAGGTTAGCAGTGTGGGACCATCATCCGAACTCATCTACTCTTACGATCCAGTGCAGGGTAGAAGTTTTATGTAATACTTCAGTTTCAGTTTTTATTTACTTTTGACGTTGAACTCTCAGGGTTATATTTAGGGATCCCTGACGTAGGATTTCCAAGTTGTAATGAAGTACTGCATTAAATAAAGGATGGATGGATGTTGTATTATTTAATGTTTCTTTCCTGTCTAAATTCTTTTAATTCCATCATTTTGTATTCCATGCTTGTATATTGCCAATTGTTTTTGATATCCCTCGTTTTTTATGTATAAGCCTGATCAACTTATGCGTGGAAAATGTGGGGGTGTTACAAATGGTGCCTGCAAATGAGGTCCAATTGGATGAGTCTGGCTTCCAAAAGCCTAGCTATGCCAAAATTAGAGAGGATTGCCTCATGCTCTGAATCTAACAAAATATTCTTGCTGGATATGTCTCGATGAATTATTGGAGGTGAGCAGTCATGGTGCAAGTAGGCTAAAGCATTCACTATACCTTTAATAACATTTACCCTCTCAATCCATCCAAACTGTGTTGCTGCTTCATCGTTGCCTGGCATCTTCTCCAAGCTTCCCCTTTCCATGAACTCATAAACCAAGAAGGCATGTCGCGGATGCAAACAGAAACCAAGGAGCCTCACAATGTTGCGATGCCTTACATCTGTTAGTGCTTGAACCTCACTAGTTAAAGTTTTCAAACTGGCCACCCCGTCATCATTCTCTAATGCTTGAAGTTTCTTCACAGCAACAACTTGACCGCTTTGCAGCTTAGCTCTATATACACTTCCAAAGGCACCCTCTCCAATGCAATATTTGGAGTTGAAGTTCTCTTCTTACCAATCATTTTGCCTTGTGGATCTTCAAAGAGGGGCAAGACTTCAAACCAGTGATGTTGCTACACAAGCCTTTATTATTTGTAAATGCCTCTGTTGGAGCTCTCGAAAGTCTTTGTTACTTGGAAGAGGGCCCTCCAACTGATTGTAGGATATATCAACAGATGTCAGGCTTAACATTTGGTTGAAAGTGTTTGGGATGGAACCAGAGAGCTCATTGTGGGAAAGATTCAATATTTCTAAGCTGAGCATTGTTTCGAGCTCAGATTATTTGCAGCCAAGTTAAGTGATGAGCGCTGAAAAGTGCGTATTTAAACCCCTTAAGCTTAGGTATTCTAAAACCTTTATCTATCTTATTTTACCGTTTTGTATTGATTTCGTATTATTTCCATTTTTAGGTACTTATCCCCAAAATAAGCTAACTCAGCTAAATAAGAGCATAATTGAAGCAATTCTGGGATGAATCAAAGAAAGGAGCAAAGTAGAGCAAAAATGAAGAAAGGGTGGAATTTCAACAACTTCGATTGATCTCAAGAAAAGTTCGATCGATCCAACTTTTATCGATCTCAGCACCTCAAGATCGATCTGAGCCAAGTTTGTTCTTATTCAAAAATCTCAAAGTTCGATCAATCCAACTTCCATCTCTGATCGATCGAACATTCTTGTCCTTATCCAAATGATTGATCTTATCTAGTTGTACCACCCTACCAACCGCTTTTGTCCTTTTCCCAAAAATATCTTCAAAATATCTCAGATTTGTTTTTATCCAAAAAGGCGCCGCCATTGAGGATCGATCCAGCTTAAGTTCGATAGATCTCAGCCATGTTCGATCGATCCAAGTCTAAGGTTCGATGGATTAAACTTCCTCTAGTGCGAAATAATTAAATTTCCAGCTCACAAAAAGTTGTCCTTTATCCAATCATTGGGGAATATTTACTGTATGACCCCAGCTTATTTTGGGTGTCATTTAACCTACTTATATAAGGACAATGATTACTTTTTATATCATATCACATCATATGATATCATACCTTGTAGAACTCTTAGGGAGGAAGCAAAAAAGAGGAGGAGGAGGCTAGAGACACCATTAGAGACTCTTCATCAACCAAGGAACAGATTTCTTCCATGGAGCTTGCCCTTGAGGGTTGGAGGACATCATCCATGAGTGGCTAGACATCCTCTTGGGGCTAGAGTTAGCCCTAAACATGCTTTCTACTTCTTGATTTATGTATTTTTGAGGGGATTTGTATTGTGATTCATGTCTTGACACTTTTATATATATAGATCTTGTTTATTCAATGATTTATATGGTTTAATGCTTCCAATTGATCATTTCATTCTATCCATATGTCTATGTATGCTAGAATAGATGTTCATGTGTTTGTCTCTATTTCTTGTGTTATTGATGCATGTTTATGTGTGTTGATGCTATAGATCTAGAGATTATCAAGACATAGTGCTTAATGTCATGTTCTTGTGGTTTATTTGATGGTTCATATTTATTGCTTGATGGATTGTACCTCTCCCTTAGTTTAATTAGTTTAATTTCATGTCATTAGCTTAGTTGTAGTGTAATTGTTAAATGGGAGGACAATCTATGCTTGTTGTTGATGTTCCATACTTATGAAAAGCAAGTAACATGTATCTCTATCCTTGTGATGTGTTTGGTTGTGAGCTTAAAGAAAGGATTAATGACTTAATTTGATATGTTGTGCTATCCACCATGTTGTTTAGACAATATATGCTTAATTTGTCATCCATGCTTGTTGAAACAATCACACACACACACTTATTGCAATACATGCTCTTTTCCTCATTAATCTTTCATTAAAGGTATAGAAAAGCTATGCTTAGTGGTGATCTCTAAATCCCAAGATCTCTCTATCTCTCTTTTATTCTCTCTATTGCATTATTGTTTACTTTAGTTTAATTTACATCTAGTGTAATCCAACTAACCAACCACTATTTTGATCACTCGACCTACTAACCCTAATTTTGATTCCTCAACCTAGTACGACACTCAATCCCTTGGGTCGATCCCTACTCACCCTAACTATATTTTTAGTGAAAGGTAGTAGTGGCAATTTCTAAATGTAAAACTTGGCCACATTGCATAAACTTTGGGTTAGGAGTGCGACGCCCATCAAGTTTTTGACGCCGTTGCCGGGGATTGATTGATTGGCAACGTCGTATTTCTGGAATCAATTAGGAATTAGTACTCTTTTGATCGTGTCTTTAGTTTGTTTTCAATTTTTGTTACTTATTGTGTTTGTTCTTGTTTGACTAGGTGCATTGAGCTAGGAAGCAAGCAAAGGAGTATCCAAGTAAAGGAACTAAGCAAGCAAGGAAAAAGGCTAAAATTAAAAAAATAGCTAAGCTAAGCTAAAAATTTGGAATTGAAGTGCTAAAGGACCTTTGTGAGCTTTTCTTTACTTATCCCTTAGTTAAATCGTCGGACCGCGTGGAGGCTTGTAATTCAATTCTTAGATAAAGCGTAAGCCCGCGTGGAGGCAATTTACTTTTCTTGCATATTGTTTAAGCATGGGAGTATGAGAACATTGTATGTGGAGGAAGGTTGTTGATTGTTGATTTGTTGTGAAGGTGAAGTGTTTGTTGTTATTGCTTGTTGTGTTGCATTGTGCATGTATGGTCGTAGATCATTGAGACCCACTCTTGTCCCTTTAAATTTTCATCTTGAATCCATTGTTCGAAATCCTAAGGGGAGAGGTAGTTCTAGTCAATCCATTTCATCAATGGAAGGACACAATGAGGACCATGTGGAGGACCTTGGTTACACAGACCAATAAGGTATCCTCCACCCCAATGTGCATCATGATAACATGCAAGTACCATTAGGCATGCCAAGGCCATATGTTCATCCACCATAACAACAAGGTTAAGTTCCATTGGAAATGCCAAGGCCAATCTATGTTCCACCACCTCCCATCATTCAAGGCAACCAAGGTGCCCATGTTGCACCTCCAATTGCTAATCCTCCCCTTACTTTAAGAGATCACTATGTGCCTAATGAATATAATGCACACACATACATTCAATTGCCACCATTTAGAGCACACCACTATGAAATCAAGCCACAAACCATTCAAATGCTTCATAATTATCATGGACTTCCAAGTGAAGAACCTTACAAGCATTTGGATGAGTTTCTTGAAGTATGTTCCACCGTAAAATACATGGACATGCCGAAAGAGGTCTTAAGGGTTAAACTTTTTTCATTCACCCTTAAAGACAAAGCAAAATATTGGTTTAACAATCTTAGGCCTTTTTCAATAACTTCTTGGGCGAAAATGCAATAAGAGTTCTTGAAGAAGTACTATCCGGTTTCTAAGACCAATGCTATGAGAACCTCAATTCCAGAATTTTCACATGGGGATGGAGAAACATTTCATGAGGCATGGGAACGCTTTAATGAATTACTTAGAAAGTGTCCACATCATAACATGCCCAAATGACAATTAGTTCAATATTTCTTTGAGAGCTTATCGGACAATTACAAAGGCATGGTTGATGCTTCCATGGGTGGCTCTTACATTGATAGGCATGAGGATGACGTATGGCGTCTTTATGAGAGCATGAGTGAAAATTCTTTGCATCGTACTTTATCTTCAAATAATGGTAGAAATTCTAGTGGTAGGAAGAGTGTTGGCTTACACCAAGTCGACCACTCCAATGAAATTGCCGCCGAAATGAAATCATTATCTCAAAGGTTTGATCAATTTTTGATCAACCAAAACTCGGTGAATCAAGTATCTTCCTTCCCTAACCATTCTCATCATGCATCTAATGAGACATGTATGACTTGTTCAAGTGTTTTACATTTTACTTCCAATTGTCCCCATGGACATGTGCAAAGTGAGCATCATGAACAAGCAAATGCTGTTTTTACTAATCAAGGGAACAATCATTATGGAAATCATTACAATCTTAATTAGAGGAATCACCCGAATTTCTCTTGGAAAAACCAAGGGGAGGGCTCAAACCCTTCCCACGGTGGTTTTCAAGGAAAGTACATTCCACCTCCACTACAAGGCCAAGGTTCCCAAGGTTTTAGATCATCATATCAATCACAAGGAAACCAATTTTCAAATTCTCATTTTCCCAATCAACCATCATATTCCCAAGGAAATGTTAGAAGTCCCGCTTTTGAAGAGAAAGTTTTAACCGCTTTGGACACTTTGGAGGTAAACACACAATTATTTCATTCTCACTCTCAATCCATTGCGAAGCTAGAAACCTAAGTAGGGCAAATAGCTAGCACTTTAAATGCAAGATAGAAGGGAAAAATGCCTTTGAATGCCCCACAAAAGCAGCAATGTGTTGTGGAGACTCATTCCTCATCGGAAGGTCACACAATAGAGTATGTCAATGCGGTGACTATCTTGAGAAGTGGAAGGATTGTGGACAACCAAGTGGGTATGTCTAATGAAGAGAGTGAACCGGTGCAACCACAAGTTGACACCCGTCCCGTTTCATATCATATTCCTCCTTCATTGCATGTGCATGACCATATAAATAAGAAAGTTATGAAAAGTGATTTGAAAAGTGATTTTGAAAAGAAAGATTTGCAAAATGATTTGAAAACTTCTTGTGTTGAAGAGACTTTAAAGAAAAATTCTGAAAAGGTTTTTGAACCAAAAGCTTCATTTCCGGATGCCTTAAAAGGATCCATTTCAAATGACAAGCAAAAGGCCAAAGTAAATGAAATCATGGACGTGTTTAGGCAAGTGAAAGTCAATCTCCCACTTTTGGATGCAATCAAGTAAATTCTGGCCTATGCCAAATTCTTAAAGGACTTGTGCACCCAAAAGAGGAAGAACAAAAGCTAAGCACCTAGAAAAGTGGTCTTAACCGAGCAAGTGAGCTCAATTTTGCAGCATGACACTCTTTCAAAGTTTAAGAACCCTGGTTCACCTACTACTTCATGCATCATTGGTGATTATATCATTAATCGAGCTCTTCTTGACTTAGGAGCTAATGTTAACCTTCTTCCATACTCGGTTTATGTCAAATTAGGCTTAGGAGACTTAAAACCAACGTCGGTAGTTTTACAACTTGCCGACCGATCAATCAAAAAGCCCAGGGGTATTATCGAGGACGTATTGATTAAAATTGATAAATTCTTTTTTCCCGTTGATTTCGTTGTCATTGATACGGAACCGGTCCCAAATCCTAAGAGCTAAATTCCCGTTATCCTTGGCCGTCCTTTCTTGGCAACCGCGAATGCCAACATT